CGCACACGCGTATCCCCAGGATATGGGGGCGTCTCCCAGGAACTCTGGATCGCTGCCCCTGCATGCATACGAGCCAGGGAACGGGTGATCATCAACCTCATCCTACGCACGGGCCTAGTCCCGCCGATACTCGGACGAAAACAGATGATCTACCTTGCCAAATCGGATACAGCCCACGGGGTGGTAAACTTAGACCCTGGACTTCCACCCTGGCGCCCCATCACGGTCCAAAGTGCTTTCAGCAGTCGAATCTTTACCGTTATACGGGACTACATCACCCCCTGTATCCCGAAATGCACCACGGTTTCCAGCGAGACCGCACAGTTCAGGACGCCGCTGTCCTTACCTCACTCCTTATCGAACGCACCGAACGCCGGCAGGAAGAACTCTTCCTTATTTCTAAGGACTGCCTCAGATGCTTCGACAGAATCCCAGGCTGGGTCATGGAATACATCTACCGTAAACTCGGTGTCCCCCCCCTCCCGCGCCAACTCATGGCCCACTTCCTTGGGGGCAGTCAAATCGATATCCGCACGGCTTTCGGCTGGCTCGATGGTGGCATCCAGGAATTCGGCCTGTGCCAAGGTTCTATCCTAGCGGTCATGCATATTGGATACTATATGGACGTCCTCCTACGCCAGCAACACAGTGGCCTGGACCCTGACCGCATTGTGCATAGCCAACACCCTCAGGGCGCCCAAACCCGCACCATCTCCAGCCTCCTATTCGTGGATGACGCCCTCGACATCGCGACCACCTACGCTGGCATACAAGACCGAGCACGCATCTCCAACACATTCACCGGCCAATCCGCGTCCGGCGGAGTATTTGGTGCTGATAAATCCTTCCTCCTCTACATATCCCCCCACGCACACCCGGCCATTGCCCTCAACGACGGGCTTGGCATTCCACAACCCATACGCGTGGTCGCACCCTCCGAGGGTTTCCGCCATCTAGGTATCCATCAAGGCACCGACAACCAATGGGAAGAGACCACGTGTGCGGTATGGCAGCGACTCAACACCCAAGCCGATGCCGTAGCCCCCCGGGGGCTAAGAAAGAAAGAACTCGTGTACATCATCAACTCCGTCTGGATACTGAGTGTCCTCTACCGCACTGCCATCAGTGATGCCATCAGCATCGCACCAGCCCTTGACACCCTATTCCGTAAGACGGTGCGCCGGGTCCACAAGCTACCCCACGACCACCCCACAGAGTGGTTTTATGACCCCACCGATGGACTGGGACTGGTCCACTGTGAACGATTCAGCCACAGCCAACGCCTATACCACTTCCTCCGTATTGCCAACGACCGTGGCTCCCCTACACATGACCTCTTCATGGAATCACTCGAGGCCTACCAACTGGATAGCGGGTTACCGACCACTCCCTTGCCTTCCGCATACCCCCACCTGCCGCAGACTGCACACTTCTTGGCACGATGCTCCGGGACCTTGACAATTTCCAGCCAGCCCTCACCATCACCACGTAATGGCACCAACCAACCGCCAGCCTCCCACTTCGTCCAAATGACCGCCCAATCTGGCCACACCTCCCACCGGCCCTGAGCACGACCCTCATCTCCATCAACAAGCTCCACGCCAAAAAGGTACGCTGGGTGGGGGGCAATACAAATGACAAGGCACCATGCTGCTCAGCCTAGCGTCCCTCCGTACGAAATTTGGATGGACAAATCTCACGCTCCACTGGTTTGCACCTATTTGGAACGCTATCCCCAAAGCTGAGCCACCCGCCCCACCGGTACTTCGGCAACAAACGCTCCAGTGGGGGCCCCACCCTGCCACCCAAACCCTGCCTCCCCCACTGCCAACCCCATATCGCACGTCCCTACCATGCCTCACACACCCACTCGGTCGCACATATTTTGCCCCCACACAGGGCTACGAAACTCTACATATCCCGGTTCACGCCATGCTAGTAATCCCCCACCACCTTACTCAACCGGATAACCGATCCCCACCCTCAGCTACCGCATTGGACGTCGAACCAGTCTCCAAACACGACAAACCCAGCAGGGCACGGAGATTGCCGTCACCTTCTGGCATGAACTACGTAAAGACTCGGACATCTGGTACTCCCCAACACCGCGCGAAGCACGAGGCCGACACCGACTTGTACCCATTACGGGCTGTGCTGTCCTTACAGGCAGCCTCCTACCCACCAGCCGAGCCCAACGCCTCAAGTTTATTCCCTGGACCGACACGGCCTGGACCAACCCGCGCACACACATCACCCAGAAAGGGGAAAACAATCGTACCATCATTGCCTCAACTGCCGGGAGAACTACTGACCTGGTTGGTACAGAACCTTACGGGGCACCAGCCCCCCCTGCACGCAACGCCGGCCTGTACCGCCTGTCACCGCCTAGCGGACACTACCATCTGTCTCGACTGTGGAGGTTGGCATCACCTGGCGTGGATCCCACACTGCCGCGTCGTTCCGCACCACAGCACACCGACGTACGGTCTACATACTATCCCCCGACGGGATGTACGCACCCATGCGGTGGGTGACGGCAGCGTCACGCACCAAGGAACCCCAGCCGCGCACGGTCATGGAGGAGCTACGTGGGCAGAGACGGTACTACCCTCGCTGGGTCCATCCAAGTACACGCCAACCACATCACACCCACACGCTGTGAACTCCATAGCCTGCTGGCGGGCCTCCATCACACTGGAGATGCTGCGCTCCAAATCTGCGACAACACAAAAGCCATTGGATTGCGCTCCAAATCTGCGACAACACAAAAGCCATTGGATTGGTTGTTCTCACCAGATCCCTAAAACGCCGCGGCGGCCTCCCACGCTACAGCAAATCTACAGGGTCGAACTCCGCTCACTCATGGCGCTCTTCACAGACACCGGAACCTTTACCGGCGACTGGATCCGATCGCACCAGGACCCCGATGACACGACTGACCCCACCCTCCGAACAAAACGCCTATTGCTCGCCGAAGCGGACTCCCTTCCACCCTAGCCCACCAGCTTCTTCCCCTTACGAATTATGCGCACCTCATTATCCCAGACTCCTGGGAGCTACGTGATGAACACGACAAGCCGGTCACCGGGGCGACGGCCCCGTGGCTGGGTGCAGTGTACGGTCGTCGGGATTGGCCCAAGGTGCAAGCCCGAAAATCAGACACCCGCCGGATTGTTCAGCCACTCCGACTCCCCACCGGGGACATCTGTAAATGGGACCCCCGTGCCATCTGCTATACTTTACACACCAACGCCCGAAAACACCGCATACAACCACGCTGGGAGGCCCACTGCCGCACGTGCCCCGATCACCCTGACACGCAGGAACACCGATTCGGCCTCACAACTCCCACCTGCCCCAAGGCCGTCCCACTATCCCAGCACATCCTCCTCGCTACACAAGCGGTCCTTCCACAAGGCTGGCTCCCAGACCAAGACATATACATTCGTGGACATGGCATGACCATAGCGCAACTATGGCCTGGACCAAAACGCCCACAATGGAAAACCCGCGGCGGACACCCATCACCCCACACGGGTATGCGCATGATCCCCCTTACCGCGCACCGCTGTGTACACGCCCTCCACATGCACCGCCTCCTTGGACCCCCCCCCGACCAGAATCCCTCATGCTAGCCACCTCCCAGCTATCCTGGGAATCTAACCTGTGCCCAAAGCCGGGCTCCCTACTACCGCGCTGGCTATATCACACCGCCCTACGCTCCACCCCCCTGCTTGCACCACGCGACTTCTGGTTTCGTCAGTGGATGGGCGGCCCCAATGGTGCTACTTTTCAGCGCCCACTAGGACACTCCCCCCACTGCATAATCCCCCGCCCCCCAACAAACCATCACTGGTGGATTGATGCCACACACAACCCATACACCTCCACTTGGTGGCGCCTCCTAACCACGGCAATACAGGCCGTTACCTCTCACCAAACACCGGCCACCTACTGGTTTGTCGTACACGATGGCTCCTGCGGCCATGTAATGGCTGAACAGCTCCAAACAACATGGCTCTTCACCATTCCCCCGGGCCAGATCAAACTCCGCCACGTTTCCTCCATCTACCACACTCCTACCCCACCCTGGGGCAATCTCGCTTCCGGCAATCCCACCGCAATCCACATTGGTTTCATCACCACTGGCAACACAGTAGCCCTACTCACCTCTGCCCAGCAGCACTGGACATCAGCACTAACATTAATCGACGCTATCCATTGGCTACGTCGGCCTCCCCCGACCACTCAACTCAGCCCAGAAGAAATTACCATGACAGCCATCCCACGGCTACTTAGTGCCCCCACACACTGCCTCCACTGGGTCCAAATCTCCATCCCCACTTACGACCAAAATGCCCTTGACACACGCGCATACCTTACGCCACAGTTTCCAGCCATATACCAACCTACCTCCGGCTGGAAAACCTTCCCCACCATGACACACACAACACGAGCCTGGGCAGCCGTCCTCACCACCTCCACGCTCCTCGTCTCCATACTCTATGGTTCACGGCGCACTGGGCCGCCCTTCGCCGCCACTGGCAATCTACATGCACTACTAATGTGGACCACATACGCACCGCAGGGGAACTACCCCTCCTCACAGAGGTAAACAACAACATCCGGTTCAAACGCCGCTACCATGATGCCGCCCCCATGGGCCATGATCGACGCATCCGTGCCCGCAGGGCTCACCTTGCAGCCAAGACGCTCCAATGGCAATCTCGAAGGATCTCCTCACAACCCCCCGCCCTCCCCCCTCGCGTAGGCTACGCCGACCCTCCACTTCGGCCACCACGCCTGCCTCCGGACCCAGGGATACCTCCTCCAGCGGCCTAAGCATCCTTATCCCCTGGAACCGCCACAACTAGGTTTGCAAGTAGTTAAGTCCGCTAGCTGCCAATGCAGCTAGTACGCGGCCGAGGCCATTAAGTGCCCGCTGAGTGATTTTAACTTTACAGCGTAATATCAATATCAATATCCACTTCTTCGTCATATTAGTCGTCATCGTCTTTCCTCTCCATGAGAAAGCGTTTCACATGACGCCCAGCCATTGACAGGATGCTGGCCATCAGCGCGATGGGCAAGTTGATGCGACGCAGCACACTTAGTGCCGCGAGGCGCTGACGGAGTGGCAGGAGAAGAACAGTCCAACCGCCGGCATGCAACGGGTCAACGTCGTCGTCTGGCGGCCATGTCGGTGACGCACACAGTGTGAGGTCGCGCAGGTGACTGTTGGTCATCAGCAAATGCTGCAGTCGAGTGCTTAGTGACTCGACATCCTCGTCGTCCCAGCCGCGCACGTCAATGTACAACGAGCGGAGCACACGGGACACTGGATGATCTGGCGACGATAGCGCGGCCACAACGGCGTCATATCCGACGTCGGCATGGCCTGCCATCAACGACAGTCGCGTGAGGCGGTACGGGTGCGTCGTACTCGTAGTATACGCATCCAAGAGCTGCTCGAGAAAGCCGTCTTCCGCGTTCCGCACCGTGAGCTCCTCTAGGTTGGGGCATAGCTGGGCCTGAAGACAGCTTTGAAGTGACTGAAGAAATCCTCGAACACGTTTCCGAGCAAGGGATCATGCTGAAGGTCAAGTCCATCGCGGGACACAAGTTTGTCCCGGATGTGAAAGAATTCATGCTGGAAATGCTTTGTGAAGGTTTTGAAGATATCGAGTCCTCATGGGAACCGCTGCAGAAGCTCATGCATGAATGCCCGGCCGTGGTGAAGAACTACGTTGAAGGCGTGAAGACAGTGAGCGAAGGCGATGCATTGCGCAAGGCGATGAAGCAAGCGAAGGCGAAGAATTAGCGAGGCCCAAGTGTGTCCTGCGGGACATGGCTTGGTGTGTGTGTTGTGGTGGGCTACTTAACCCAAGTCCCGCTGTGACACAGGTGGTCCTCAACCGAGGCCACCGGGTGCCGACCCTTGGCGAACCGACACGAAAAGGCATAGTATTACTAGTAGTGTTACTAGTAGTACTAGGACGTAGAAAACAGAACACCTGTCCCAGCCAACTTCCGGAATCTCATTCTTGGTTCTGCAACGTCGTGCTAACATCAAGACAATCAAGTGTGTGGTTTGCAGGGAGTCGGCACTCCCCCATTTGGTTGTTTGTGTTGGCACTGGCGTGGGAAACAACACACTTGCCCAGTATTGCACACAACCACGAGACAGCGCGTTGCTCGAGATCCAGTGCGTGGAGCTGAGCTCGCTCGATCCAACGATGGCAGCAGTGGTCGCTGCGTCTTCGTTGCCCATGGTCATCAACGATGCGAGGGCATGGGAACACTTGCTAACGACAACCGGCGAAGACGTGAAGACGTCGGCGCTCGCAATGGGCAACTTGATCCAGCTCGACGTTTATGCCGCTAGCTATCACTGTACCTCACCACTCGTCGAGCGTCTCTATCAGGTGCTGCAGACGCACTCCCCACAGCTGAGAGTTCTGTCGATAGACCACGGCAGCCACTTGGAATTCTCCGACGAGGACGACGACGCACCCAAGCGAGCCGTGGAAATGCAGGCCATCGCACGCGGGTTTTTTGGTCCCGACTCGACTCTTCGGCTCGATCGACTCAAGCTCATGGCCCCCATCAACGAGCGCGACCTCCAGCACATGATCGCAGTCTTTGATCCGCAGGCACCGTGCCCATGTAAACCGTCATCGATCGATGCCTCTGTGGGGAGGCGAGCAGTCGACGATTCGTGGCAACACACTTGCGCAGCTGCTGCAGCTCATTGGCGGTGTCGAGTGCTTGGAGCTGGGTGGCTCGTCCGGAGAGGGTGTCCGTACTGCCGAGGTCGGCTATCTCGTGCGTGGCTGTCGATCGCTGCGATCGCTCACAGTGGAAGCGACGTGTGCTGGCTGGAAACGATTAACTCTTGCGGGCAAAGCCGACTCGCACCTCGAGCTGCGTCTCGGCGATCGCAAGTCGGCACTGATTGCCAGCGGCATGGAGCGACTGCTGGGCCATGTCGGGCAATCGCTGGTTGCGCTGAGCATTCTGTCGTGGCGTGCTGCCACGCTGAAGGGCAAATTTGCGTAGAACTTGACTCTTGATGTGTGTGCCTCCCGCAGGTCGTGGGTCACCAAGTGCTCCAAAACGACGGAGAATTCGCCCACTTCCTTGACTCGGTAGGGGCATGTCCAGGTTACGAGCAGCTTGGGGTGATAGCGTTTGTCGACGCGAGACCAGAGTACATAGTCGCCTTCGCTGACGTTGCACTGTTCGTATTTCTCGGTCGCTTTCGTCGCTTTCGCCGCGCGCATCGCATTCTTGTCTAGGACTTCTTTGTGCATGACTTGCAGGCTAGCACGCAGCTTGTCCAAGTTTTTTGGGATGTCCTTGACCATCCAGTCGCTCTCTCGGAGTTCCTTGTTCATGCCCACCGCGACGACATCCAGGGGAGTCGCCGGGTTCAAAGCCGTGAACAGCTCCATCGGCGACTTGCTAGCCAGTGATGCTGCCGGTGTTTGGTTGAGGTTGACTTGGACCACCGGCAATAGGTAGTCCCATTCCTGTTCGGCTAGCTGGTACTCTCGCAGCATGACCCGCATCACTTGAAGGATGTCGCGGTTCATTTGCTCCACCGTTCCATTGCGCCAGGGGCAGTAGGCCAAGGTTAGGTCATGATGGACCTTGAACTTGTGAGCTAACGCCTTCATGGCCACGTTTTTGAAATGGGTTCCTTGGTCGCTGACCCAGACTCGTGGCATTCCGAACCGCTTAATCCAGTCCATCAGGGCATCCACACATACTTGGCTCGTGGGGGCATCGCATGCAATGAGTTCGCAGTAGTGGGTAAGGTCGTCTTTGAGTACCAGCACATACTTAGCGCCGCTGAACGCTTCGCCCATGTAGAGGTAGTCGAAGTGGATTCCTTCGTTGCGTTCTTTCGCGTGCCATCTCGGAGCATACGGTCGATGGACCACCCTTCCCCCTTTTACATGAGGGCACAACAAGCAGCCACGGAGGAATTCACTGGCCCTGTCGGCCAAGTGGTCGACATAGAACAGGCGGCGGATAGCAGCCACCAGCGCTGCATGTCCACGGTGCCGGGCGCTGCCGCAGTGGGCAACGACCATGATCCGTTGGATCAGGTCATTCGCCGCACTCGGTATCCATAGCCGCTCGTCCACTTGCCATAGTCCGTCCACCACGGTAGCTCGCTTGGTTTGTCTTTGCCATGCTGGTCTTGGGCGTGACGGATGTCCACCACACATGGCCACACAAAGTCCTTGTCCAGCGGTCGCAGTTTTGGTTGTTCCGGTGGAGGGACTTTGCGCGCTTTGACTTTCTTTGACCAGCCATGTCCCCGACGTATTTTGACCCGCTTGGTCGCCAGACTTGGTGTCGGTTGACCCCAACGGCTCATCATATCCGCCCAAAGGTTGTGGATGTCGTCGATGTGTATGATTTCATAACGATAGCCGCCAATAATGGCAGCCCATCGCATGAGTTTGCTGCGTGTGTGCGCCTTCCATTCTTCGCCCGGGGCAAAGACATGGATGAGATCCTTGTGGTCACAGTACATCTTGAACCCCGTAGGTCGCATAAGCATGTAATTGAGCTTCTCGTACGCACGCGCAATAGGGTAGGCCTCCTTTTCGATGACTGACCACGCCTTCTGGGCGCCGGCAAACATCCCCGACTGACACAAGAGCAGTTCGTGACGTTGTTCTTGGACTGGGCTGTCATCATCGAATGCCACCACTTGAGTTACCACAATCGACCATCCATGATCGCTCGCATCCGTAAACAAACACATCGTGGCGTCATCACGCGGGTGAGACAGTTCCACCGATGATCGTAGCTTGGACTTCACGGCGTCAAACGCTAGCTTCTCGCCGTCGGTCAGTTCCAACTGAACACCAGACGCGATCCGCTTCTTCTTGCCCTTGCCTTCGAGGGCCTTCGTCATACACTGCTGCAGTGGGTCGACGGTCTGTGCGTACTCTGTCATCGAGTCCCGCAGCCAGTTCACGGTGCACACAAACAGCTGCAATTCTCCCGCATTCGTAGGGTAGGGGATCGCACACAGATGTTCTATGCGTTCAGGGTCTTGCATGACGCCATCACCACTGATGATGCGTCCGCACCACTTGACTTGGTCCGTGAACAGCTTGGTCTTGGACGGACTCAGCTTGAACCCGTACTGGGCCACTCGATCGAAGAACGACTCGAGGGCATCCACATACTCTTCCACTGTGTCGGCGTACACAAAGATGTCGTCGATCCAGATCAGCATGTTCTTGTAGAGCAGGTCTTTGTAGCACTCCTCGTTCGTTGATTGCACGTAGAGGGCACTGTCCACATGGCCTTGCATCACTCGATCCGGGGTGTACACACATCCGTTCAGCATGAACGACAACATGTT